TTAGGGTATTTTTTAAATCACTGATGCGTGAATTTGACCCGAGGAAAGAACAAGAGTAAACACAGAGGAAAGGATTAAAACACAAGACTTTTCCATTATTCTTTGTCTATGTTTCTGTCTGTAGTTAAAGCTGGGGTACGCAACTTTCAAACCACAACATTATCATAAAATCCTGGATCCCGACTCTTATCTGCAGTTTTCACATCAAGTGTTTGGCCTCCATCACATCTTTACATCAGCTTTTTCACACCCTCTCTCGGCCAATCAGCTTTCAGCCAATCAGCTCTCAGCCAATCAGCTTTCAGCCAATCAGCTTTCAGCCAATCAGCTTTCAGCCCAAAAAGTCCAGTGACTCCCACAGAGAATAACCAATAAGATGAAGACAGCATGTTCTGGTCTGATTTGTGTTTCCCGTTCGTCGTCATAAGCGCCGCTCTCCATCGGCCAATCACACGGCCTGTACTAGCCTGGTCTGTAACATGGCGACGCCCCCCGGTACCTGATTGGCTTTGGCGTTCTCGCACACATAAGTCTCGTAGTCGGAGGCCAGAGTGGGCGCGTTGTCGTTCACGTCCAGGACACGGATGAAGACTGGGACGCGGCTGACCAGGCGGGGGTTGTCTGGGAAACAACAAAATAAAGAGTTAGCAAAAAACTAGCAGCACTTAACCCCGCCCCCCACAGCTACCTGATTGGACGAGGGGACTCCCCATTAATCTAACTATTCTATAGAAAATATAACTGGTAGAAATAGGTATAGTGGAAACATGAAACTCAATTTACATTTTAGTTTGAGAACAGATGGGGCGGGGGTAGACTGAGTTAGAGAGCAGGGTATTCCCACAGAAGGGGCGGGGGTAGACTGAGTTAGAGAGCAGGGCATTCCCACAGAAGGGGCGGGGGTAGACTGAGTTAGAGAGCAGGGCATTCCCACAGAAGGGGCGGGGGTAGACTGAGTTGGGGGCGGGGCGTTCCCACAGAAGGGGCGGGGGTAGACTGAGTTGGGGAAAAGAGACTGAGTTACCTAAAAGCCTCAACCCGCCAAACTCAGCAGTTCTAACCTCTACTCACACGCGCCCCTGTCTGTGGGAACGCACCCGCCCCCAACTCATCATACACCCCTAGCCGCCTTCTGGGGGAATGCCCTGCGCTCCTAAAAAACGCCTCAATCTACCCCCGACCCCCATACTGGGGAATGCCCAAGGCATCCTTACCCTCAGAATCTCCATACCGCGCCCTTTCTGTGGGAATACGCGCTGCCGTATGCTCTGTCACAAGTTAGGGTAGAATAAACACAAACTAGTGCAGTCTAAAATGCCCCCTTCGCTCCACTTCAGTCCTTGTTCTCAAAACTAAAATGTAAATAGAAGTTTCATGTTTCCCAACTATACCTATTTCTCCCAGTTATATATTTTTCTTCATAGAATAGTTAGATTAATGGGCGAGTCCTTCTCGTCACAATCAGGTAGCTTGTGAGGGGGCGGAGGTTAAGTGCTGCTAGTTTTTTTTTGCTAACGCAGTTGTCTTATTTTGTTGTTTATTTTCCTCCCAGACAACACAAACCAGCCCAACTATACGCGCCGCCTGGTACAAGACCAGATCCAGATCCCAGTCTTCACAGCCGTGTCCTGGACCGTGAGTGGGGCGCTCGCCATCAGACATGAGCCCTCGACGTGTCGTAACAGAAGATATCTTATTGGTGTTGCGATGAACGCCAAAGCCAATCAGTACGCAGGGGGAGGCGTCCGCCATGTTAACAGTAAAAGCAAACAGACGCTAACATACAGAATGAAAACAGCAGTACAGGTAACCAGGCTAGTCGTACAGGGCCGTGGTGATTTGGCCGACTGGAGTAGAATAGAGGGGGGCAGGCGCTTATTTTGATTGCGACACGAACGGGAAACACAAATCAGACCAGAACATGCTGTCTTCATCTTATTGGTTATTCTCTGTGGGAGTCACTGGACTTTTTGGGCTGAAAGCTGATTGGCTGAAAGCTGATTGGCTGAAAGCTGATTGGCTGAGAGCTGATTGGCTGAAAGCTGATTGGCCGAGAGAGGGTGTGAAAAAGCTGATGTAAAGATGTGATGGAGGCCAAACACTTGATGTGAAAACTGCAGATAAGAGTCGGGATCCAGGATTTTATGATAATGTTGTGGTTTGAAAGTTGCGTACCCCAGCTTTAACTACAGACAGAAACATAGACAAAGAATAATGGAAAAGTCTTGTGTTTTAATCCTTTCCTCTGTGTTTACTCTTGTTCTTTCCTCGGGTCAAATTCACGCATCAGTGATTTAAAAAATACCCTAAATATTAGTTTTTTGTGGCTGAACTTTGGCGGCCATTTTGTCCCAAGGGTATACAGGGGTGACCAATACTTAATCTAACAACACTATTAAACAACTTAATTAAATAAATACTCCTAGACTTCTGCTCAGACTCATAATCCCTCATGATGCTCTTCAGGAGAATTATCCCCGCAGCACAAACCTAATCTTGTATTGGAATATTGTTGTTTAAAGTGGACTTGTTAATTATAGATATTTGCTCATTTGCATAATCCCAGCTGCAAAATAAATCCTGCCTTAAACTTTAGTGCAGCCTGTTACACGGCTCCTACCTGGATTTAATCACAAAATAAACACAATCCATCTGTATACAGTCGGTGTTAGCATTAGCATCTATGTACAGTCTGTGTTAGCATTAGCATCTATGTACAGTCTGTGTTAGCATTAGCATCTGTATACAGTCTGTGTTAGCATTAGCATCTGTATACAGTCTGTGTTAGCTTTAGCATATGTACAGTCTGTGTTTGACACGTGTCTCACATGTTTTTGCAGCGTATCCAGACGATCACGGCCACGGACCGCGACGAGCCGTTGGGAGGAAACCGCTTCTTCTTCAGTTTGGCTCAAGACGCCGCGGGAAAAACCAACTTCACCGTCCGCGACAATAAAGGTGACCGCAGCGACATGTTCCTTAAGAAAGTGTTTGAGAGAAACCAGGTCACACACTGTTTTAATCCCAGAGCCGTCATTTTGACTGCTCCCATTCAAACATGGGATTCTGAAAAATTCCCCAAAAATATGATCATGGAGAGAATGAAAAAATAAGAAAACAAATATTCAAAGTGTGCACGTGTGACCGCGACGGAAACCGCAAACTGTGCAACGCGGAGGCGCTGACGGCGCGCGCCGGGCTCAGCACCGGAGCGTTGGTGGCAATCCTGCCTGTGAGCTTCACAATCTCTCTGGTCTCTCTCTGGCTCTCTCTGGTCTCTCTCTGGTCTCTCTCTGGTCTCTCTCTCTGGTCTCCTCCTTTCTTCTTCATCTCCTGGTCTCCTCTCTCTGGTCTCTCTCTAGAGTTCCAGCAGTCATCTTCCGTTCTCCTCTGGTCTCCTCTCCTTCTCCATCCACACCATCCTCTTCCAAGAACAATCCGAGCCTCACCGCATCGTTCTAGGTCTTCCCAAACGGAAGAGATAAATCTTCCAACGAATATATTTTCGGTCGTTCAGCGGTAGAGACTCATCCAGTCGCTGGAAGCCACTGGGATCAGCGCATCCTGAATAATTAGGTCGTCCCTCTCTGGTTCTCAAGGAGTCAAAGCCCCTCTCTGCCTCTACCTCTCTCCCATCTCTGGTTGGCTCTCTCTGGGGTCATCGCAGCAGTCTCCCTCAAACTGCCTCTGTCTGGGGTCTCTCTCCTCGTCAACTCTCATCTCCTTCCTGGCCCTCTTCATGCCCGTACTCCCTGCTCAACCAGTTCTGCCCTTCTCTCTACTGGATCGACACTCTCGTCTCCATGGTCTCTCTCCCTGGGTCTCCTCTCTGGTCTCCTCTCTCCTGGTCTCTCTCTCTGGGTTCATCATGAAGTCTCTGGGTGTCCTCTCTTCTCGTCTCATCTGCCTGGGTCCTCAATCTCGTGGGTCTCCGTCTCTGGTCCACTCTCTCATCCGGTACTTCGCACTCGCTCCTCCTCGCAACTCGTTCTGGTCTCTCTCACTCAAGTTCCTGGTCCTCCATTATCTCATCTGTGTCATCTCTCTATGTCAGCCTCTCTCTCTGGACACCCTCTCTGGGGTACCTCATCTCTGGTCTCTATCAGCCTCAACCCACGCCATGTGCTACTCAGTGATCAGCTAACTGTGTCGTCCACTCGGGTCCATCCCAGCGTCAGTCTATTTCGCGCAATTACCTCTAGTCGCAAATTCTCTCTCCTCTGGTCTTCTCTGCCTCCTGGTTCTCATCTCTGGGGGTCGCCCACCCCCCCCCCCCGAGAATCCCAGGTGTACTATCGTATTGTCCTCTGTCCACCAGCTCGCTCTTTTCTGTCGTCTTGTTTCCTATCGATCTCACGGGATTCTCTATCAATCCTGGTCCTCGACTCTACGTGTCATGTAAAGTCGCCCTCCCAGGTGTTCCTCCATCTCTCCTCTGGTCCTCCTACACTCCCCCATCTCCCTTCGTCCTCCCTCCACCGCCTCTGTCTCGCGAAATAGTCTCCTCTGGTCACTCCTCACCCAGCCCCTCTCCTTCTCCTCGCCCACCTCTCCCCTCGCCCTGGGGGGTCTCTTTCCAGTTCATCACTATCACTACAATCTCTCCTCTTCTATTTCCCTCCCTTTTCTCACCTCTCTCTCCGGTCTCGGTCGCTCAATCTCTTCCTTCGGGGGTCTATCCTCTTCCGCTCTCTTCCTCTCGCTCTCCTTTTCTCCCCCCCCATCCCTCACTCTCCATCACTGTTCCATCCCAATCTTGTCAACCTCCCCCTTCTCCCCTCCCCTCATCCTCCTCCTCTCACCGATCTCAAGGTTCTTCTCGCTGGCGTCCTCATCTCGTCTCGTTCATCTGCCTCTGGGTCTTCTCTCTCTTCTCCTCCTCTATTTCTGTCTCATCTTCCTTCTTCCATCTCCCAACGTCCCCCCCCCCACCCCCCTCTTCTCGCTCTCCTCTTCTCCGTGATCGGCGTCTCTCACATTCTCCTCTCCGCTCCCGCTCTCTCGTTCCTCATCACATCCTCCCCCTTCGTCCTCAAGGTCTATCATCTCCATATGGCACATCTCCCCTCTCTCTCGCCGTTCTCTCCTCTTCTCTCTCTCCTCCCCTTTCGTCCAACTCTCTTCACAACATCAAATCTCCGCACGCTCTCCTCCCTCCTCGCTCGTTTCTCTTCTCTCTCTCTCATTCGTCTCTGCTCTCTCCAACTCGCTGGGTATCTTGCCCTCTCCTCGCTCCGGACTCCTTCTCGACTTCTACACTCATCTTCAGTCAGCGGTTCGTTTTCCACCTCCTACCTCCCTTTCCCTCTCTTCCGCTCTCACTCCTTCCGGTCTCCGACGCTTCCCCTCGCCTCCTTCCTCTCGCTTCACGGCTGGTCTCGCTTCCCTTTCCGTCTCACGTCTCCTTGCTCTCTCCGTCCGCTCCGTTCCTCTCGTCGACGCCCTCTCTATCAGTTTCCATTCACATCTCCGGTTCGCCTCGTCCAACTGGTCTCCATCCTCCCCTCTTCTCTTCTCGTCTCTCTCCCCCCTTCCCCTCTCCGCCTCTACCTCAACCTGCTCATGCTCCACTCTCCATATTTTCTCCTCTGAGCTCTTACTCCGCCTCCTCCACTTCTATTCTCTCCTGGTCTCCTTCATCTGTTCTCATCCATCTCTTTCTTACATCTCCTCTACTCCGCTGCGTTCACTTCGGCACTGTCCTTCTCTCTGGGGTCACAGCTCCGTCTCATCCCTTCCCTCCCATCAGCTCCACCCTCCCGCCCTCTCATCCCTCCCCCATTCTCTGCCTCCTCTCCTCCTCTCTCATCGATTCATCCTTCTCCTCCTCATCCACGCGCTTACAACCATATTCCTCCTGCCCCCGCCATCCTCGCTCCCCGTCATTCATCGCTCCTCATCTAGACATCTAAGAATTCGCTCCTCTTCTCCTCCTCATCATCCCTCCGTTCCGCACATCCTCCGTCCCCTTCACCTCCTCTCCGCCTCTTCCTCTCCTTTCCACTCTCCTCCTCTTTCTCTACATCCCTTCCTCTCCCATCCCATCCCCCTCTCAATCCCCCTCTGTCTCCCTCCGCTCATCGTGGGTCCTCAGTCCCCTCTCCTCTCTTTCCTTCCTCTCACTCCTCTCTTCCGCTTTCTTCCTCTCTCTGCCAACCGCGACCCTTCCCACACTACATACTCCATCTCTCCTCCATTCGCTCGTCCCTTTCTTCCCTCTCGACGCTACACTCCCTAATCGTCTCGCCCGCTCGTCCTCTCTTCTCTCGCTCTCTCCCTCTCCTCATCTTCTTCTCCTGCCATTCGCCGTCGATCCTAGCCTCTCTTCTCTCTCTCAGCCGTCATCTCCTCTCCTCCCCTCCCTTTCCTTTCTCCTTCTGTCATCCCTCTCGGCCTCCCGCCATTACCCCTCTCTATCAATACTCCTCTTCCCGTCCTTCTTCCATCTCCCCTTCCTCTCTGGTCCTCCGTTCTCTCTCCTCCCTTCCTTCTCTCTCCTCTCATCTTCTGGTCCACCTCTCCCCTCTCTCCTCCTCCGCTCCATCACCTGGTCTCCTCCTCTTACTCGCTTCGTCCCCTCCTATCTTCCCCTCCTCCCCTCACTTTTCCCTCTTCTCTTCATTTCACACATTCGTTCTCCCTCTTCTCTCCTAATCTCGCATCCTCGTCTTCGCCCGCTTTCCTTCTTCTGCACATCTTCTTCCCTAGCTCGCCTCTCTCTTCTATCCTCTCTCGAACTCCCTCTCCATTTTCCTTCTGCTCGCTGCCCTCCTCTACTTCCCTTTCCTTCTCTCTCTTCACTCTTCTTATGTTCATCCCTTCTCAATCCGCCTCCATCTCGTTCTCGTTCTTAGGATTCTTCTCTTCTCCGTTATCTTTCATCCTCTCTCTCGTCTTTTCATTCATCTCTTCTCCTCGCCGCCATGTCTTTCTCCTCCCTCTCTTCCTCCTCCCCCTAATCCTCCATCTTCATCCATTCTCATCTCCCCTCTCCTGCCTTCGCCCATCTTCCTTCTCTCGGTCTCTTCTCATTCAGACTGCTTCCCATGCATCTCTCTTCTTTCGGTGCGTCCACTCCTCCCTTTCTCTCTCCTTCTCCTCTCACTACTGAATGCTCCCTCGCTCCTCGACTGCAAGACGCCACCTCGCCTCTCATCTCTCCTTCCCCTATTCCCTTCCCCAATCTCCCGCTCTCATCCGCCCTCTCCCTTCTCTCTCTACTCCGCGCTTCGACTTCTCTCACCGCGGCTCCCCTCTCTCTCTCATCCTCCTCGGTCTCCATCTCCTCCTCTCTCTCCTCTCTCTCTTCTCCTCTCTCCTCCCTCCCGCTCTCTCGAGCTCGCCTTCTCAACTCATCCCCGCTTCCCTCCTCATCTCTCCTCGGTCTCAACCGTTCTCATCTCTCTCCTCTCCTCTCCTCCGTCAATCCACTCCCCTCTCTCTCCTCATAAAACCGTATGAATCTCACATATTTGACGCAGCAGTAAAACGCTAAAACTTCCACCGATGTGTCCTTCGCCCTCGTAAAGCTGCGAAACCCTCCTCTCCCCAGTCCCCTGTCCTCACTCCTTTCCCTGGCAAAGATAACTGTGGAGGAGGGCTTTCGGGACCTTTAAGGACGTCATTTAAGGTTGATAAAAAACCCGTAACGACACAAATACAAGGTATAAAAGCTTCCACTATAATTATTCTGACGACAGCAGTTTGGGCCAAAAAACCGTTATGGAAGAAGTGAGCAGGAGACTAACGTCACGTTCCTCTCTGGTCTCTCTCTGGTCTCTCTCTGGGGTCCTTCTCTGGTCGTACTCCTGGTCCTCTCCCTGGCTCTCCTCATTCCCTGGTCCTCTCCTCTGGTCTCTTCTCTGGTCTCTCTCTGGACTCTCCTCTGTACTCTCTCTGGGGTCTCTCTCCTTGCTTTAGTCCTTCTTCAAGTCAGCTTTAGGTCCTTATTTGTCCTTCTTCAGTCCTTTTAGACTTGCTTTAGACTGGTTTAAGTCTGGTTTCGCCAGGTTAGGACTTCCTGGACGTGGAGCCGTCCCGTGGAGAGTGTCTTTTCTCTCGTCTGGATCCAAACTGTTTACGATGTCTTTTTTGTGCTTAAACTGTCTCTCTGCTCAGCTTCCTCACATTGGGGAGGGGGGCCTGAGGGGGGCCGGGCTGAGGTTGGCGGCCGGGCCTGCGGGGGGCCGGGGATGAGGGGGGGGGGGAGATCAAACCTCCATGCCAGAACACTTCAGAGCCTACTGGCACACACAAGCGTATTTAAACATCAAGCCTCAAAAAGACACAGTTCAGACGAGAAGAGGCTACACATACAGAGATCCACGAAGTCACTTTGAGTTCTATTTAAACCAGTGTCCCGCCTGGAACAGGACGGCAGGGTATGGACCAGGATAGGCCTGGCTAGACCTGGTTAGACCTGGTTATGCAGGTTAAGGCCTGGGGTTCGGTCTGGTTATCGGAAATAAATGTGGTTTAGGGCTTGGGTTTTCTGCGAGACTTGTTTAGACCCTTCTCTCTCTCCCTCCTCCTCTCCTCTCACTCCTCTCTCATCTCCTTCTCCTCCTCACCTCTCTCTCTCTCCTCTCACCCTCTCCACCACTCCTAAACATCATCATTTCCTCTCTCTCTCTCATCATCACACTCCTCTCTCTCACTACCTCTCTACACTCCTCTCTCTACAACACCTCTCTCTCCTCTCCCTCTATCCTCACCTCTCTCCCACACCTACTACACTCTCTCTCAGCACATCTTCTCTCCTTCTCTCTCTTCTCCTCTCTCACTCTCTCTCTCTCTCCTTCTCTTCCCCCTCTCTCTCTATCTCTCTTCCCTCCCTCCTCTCTCTCTCTCTCTCTTCTCTCCACTTCTCCTATCTATCCTCTTCACTCTCTCCTCTCCCCTCTCTCCTCTCACTCTCCTCTCTCTCTCCCCTCTTCTCTCTCTCCTCTCTCTCCCCTTCTCACTCTACCTCTCTTCCTCACGCTCCCCCTCCTCTCTATCCTCTCTCCTCTCTCTTCTCCTCTTCTCTCTCTCTCTCCTCTCTCTCCTCTCTCTCTCTCCTCTCTCTCCTCTCTCCTCTCTCCTCTCTCTCTCTCTCTCTCTCTCTCTCTCTCCTCTTCCCTTCCTCTCTCTCCTCTCTCTCTCTCCTCTCTCTCTCTCTCCTCTTCTCCTCTCCTCTATCTCCTCTCTCTCACTCTCCTCTCTCTCCTCTCTCTATCTCTCTCTCTCTCTCTCCTCTTTCTCCTCTCTCTCCCCTCTCTTCCTCATAAATACGTTTTGATCTCATATTTGACGCAGCAATAACAACGCTTAAAACTCCACCTCTGTGATTCTTACGCCCTTCGTAAAGCTTGCGAAACCTCATCGTCCCTGATCGCTCATCTCCTTATCCCAGGCAAAGATACCTGTGGATGAGGCTTCGGGACCTATAAGGACGTCAATAAATCGTGATAAAACCGTAACGACACAAAACAAGGTTAAAAGCTTTCACTATATTATTCTGACGACAGGTTGGGCAAAAACCGTTACGGAAAGAAGTGAAAATAGGCAGCAAGAGACTACGTCTCTCTTGGTTCTCTCTGGTCTCTCTCTGGTCTCTCTTGGTCGTACTTGGTCACACCCTGGTCTTCCCTGGTCTCTCTTAGTCTCACTCTGGGTCTCTCTCAGGTCTCTCTTGGTCTCTCTTGGTCTCTCTCTGGCTGGTCTCTCTCTGGGTCTCTCCCTTGGTCCTCTCTCTGTGTCTTCTCTCTGGTCTCTCTCTGGTCTCTCTCTCTAGTCTCTACTGTGGTCTCTCCCTGGTCTCTCTCTCCGATCTTTATTGTCGGGCCGTTTTACATCCACAACGGCCCGACGGAGGGCTACAAGAAAGTCCAAGAAGGCGCTCTTATCAGCACGTCCTGGCCTGTGCCGCCCGGAACCTTATAACAGGACGTTGCAGAGGAACATCCCTTGAGTGCGCAGAACGCAACAATTTTGAAATAGCTATGCTCGTTGAGATCTATACAGCGGACCACATGTTCTGCCAGACAGACCCACCAAGGCCACAAATGAGGTGTACCTTTTAATGTTGATTTCCACTCAAGCACTCCTGGGACTACAGAGACTTCTATCTCCCTCTTCAAAGCCCATTTTGCAGCCATGTCAGCGGTCTCATTCCCATACAATCTCCCACGTGCGAGGGAACCCACAAGAATCCCACACTCCCCCCAGCTCTCTCCACTCTGAACAAGACAGACAGCAGCTCTGCGATGAGGTCAGGACTGGCATTAGATCCAGGACAGAGGCTGAATCTGAATATACAACTGTTTTCTCTTGCTTAGTTTGCTCTACCCATTGCAAGGCCAAAATTATTGCCATCAGTTCTGCAGTAAACACAGAAACATCAGGGAGTCTTTTGAATTGCAGGATGTCATACTCTGGGACATAAAACGCAAATCCAGTCTTTCTGGTCTTTGGATCTTTAGACCCATCTGTATACATTTGCAGAAATCCCTCCCAGCTCGTACTTAGGGCCTGATTCACTGACCCCAGGTAGTTGGAGCCTGCCTTAGCGAGGAACTCATCACAGACATGTCTATCTCTGGCAGAATCCAGGGAGGCACACCGGTCCATACCAAATGTGGAGCCACTGCTACCTCCACCCAATCGCAGCCTCTGCATCTCTTTCCTCATATTGTACACAAAGGGTCCATACTTTGGCTTAGCACCCCATTCCCAAACTTCATCCAGCACCAGCTTGGCCCGATGCCTACCTGGATTCGCTATTCATTTGACCACATGCTGCATAGCTAGCTTTGAGCGCCAGATTGATAGGGGACTTTCACCCATTTCCACACGTAAGGCTGGAATTTGGAGATGACGGAGCGCTCCACAGCAAACCCCTTAGTGCTTTTGCCTGTACACAATTTAAACGTCTGCTGCTGATCCATAACACATACTTCCATAATCTAACCTTGACCTAACCATTGCCCTGAATATCATTAACTGTGTCTCCCTGGATGCCCCCCATGGAACTTCCTGAAAGAAAACGCAACATATTAATCACCTTTTCACATTTGTTACACAATACTCTCAATTGTTTTTTTCCAAGGACATCAGGACTAGAACCTCCCGCCACAAGAACAGTTTCTTCCCCTCTGCTGTTGGACTCTTGAACACTTCTTAACCTGTCCCCCCGCCCTTTATAAAGTCACTTTACTGCCCATCATATACGTCACTTTAACTGTACTGCTTTCAAATTTATGTGCTTGTATATTGTAAATAGTAACTGTAACTTATTTTAAATTTAAATTTATTCTTTAGAAGTGTTTTTATTCTTATTTTTATTATCTCTTTTTGACTGTTGCACTGAGCCAAAGCAATTTCCAAGTCTGTGACCTCCCGTTACTTACGTTGGCAATAAAAATGATTCTGATTCTGATTCTGATTCAAATAAGCCTCCCATCAAAATATCCAAAACGACGGCCACTAAAACGTCCCTGTTCACTATGGCTTTTTTAATATCTGCGTCCAGACACACAACAGCATCAATAGTCCCTCTGCCTTTCCGGAAACCACTTTGTAGACTAATAAACTTACCCTCTCGCTCTAATTTATTCACCAGTCTATCCGTCACCATCCGCTCCATCACTTTACACAAAACAGACGTGAGCGCGATGAGCCTGTACGATCACTATGGGCCTGTACGATCACTATGGGCCTGTACGATCACTATGGGCCTGTACGATCACTATGAGCCTGTACGATCACTATGAGCCTGTACGATCACTATGAGCCTGTACGATCACTATGAGCCTGTACGATCACTATGAGCCTGTACGATCACTATGAGCCTGTACGATCACTATGAGCCTGTACAATCACTATGAGCCTGTACGATCACTATGGGCCTGTACGATCACTATGGGCCTGTACGATCACTATGAGCCTGTACGATCACTATGGGCCTGTACGATCACTATGAGCCTGTACGATCTCTATGGGCCTGTACGATCACTATGGGCCTGTACGATCACTATGAGCCTGTACGATCTCTATGGGCCTGTACGATCACTATGGGCCTGTACGATCACTATGAGCCTGTACGATCACTATGGGCCTGTACGATCACTATGAGCCTGTACGATCACTATGGGCCTGTACGATCACTATGGGCCTGTACGATCACTATGGGCCTGTACGATCACCATGAGCCTGTACGATCACTATGAGCCTGTACGATCTCTATGGGCCTGTACGATCACTATGAGCCTGTACGATCACTATGAGCCTGTACAATCTCTATGGGCCTGTACGATCACTATGAGCCTGTACGATCTCTATGGGCCTGTACGATCACTATGAGCCTGTAGAATTACTATGGTACGATCACTATGAGCCTGTACGATCACTATGGGCCTGTACGATCACTATGGGCCTGTACGATCACTATGAGCCTGTACGATCACTATGGGCCTGTACGATCACTATGGGCCTGTACAATTACTATGGTACGATCACTATGGTCCTGTACGATCACTATGAGCCTGTACGATCACTATGAGCCTGTACAATCTCTATGGGCCTGTACGATCACTATGAGCCTGTACGATCTCTATGGGCCTGTCACGATCACTATGAGCCTGTAGAATTACTATGGTACGATCACTATGAGCCTGTACGATCACTATGGGCCTGTACGATCACTATGGGCCTGTACGATCACTATGAGCCTGTACGATCACTATGGGCCTGTACGATCACTATGAGCCTGTACGATCACTATGGGCCTGTACGATCACTATGAGCCTGTACAATTACTATGGTACGATCACTATGGGCCTGTACGATCACTATGAGCCTGTACGATCACTATGAGCCTGTACAATCTCTATGGGCCTGTACGATCACTATGAGCCTGTACGATCTCTATGGGCCTGTACGATCACTATGAGCCTGTAGAATTACTATGGTACGATCACTATGAGCCTGTACGATCACTATGGGCCTGTACGATCACTATGGGCCTGTACGATCACTATGGGCCTGTACGATCACTATGGGCCTGTACGATCACTATGAGCCTGTACGATCACTATGAGCCTGTACGATCTCTATGGGCCTGTACGATCACTATGAGCCTGTACGATCACTATGAGCCTGTACGATCTCTATGGGCCTGTACGATCACTATGGGCCTGTACGATCACTATGGGCCTGTACAATCTCTATGGTACGATCACTATGAGCCTGTACGATCACTATGGGCCTGTACGATCACTATGGGCCTGTACGATCACTATGGGCCTGTACGATCACTATGGGCCTGTACGATCACTATGAGCCTGTACGATCACTATGAGCCTGTACGATCTCTATGGGCCTGTACGATCACTATGAGCCTGTACGATCACTATGAGCCTGTACGATCTCTATGGGCCTGTACGATCACTATGGGCCTGTACGATCACTATGAGCCTGTACGATCACTATGGGCCTGTACGATCACTATGAGCCTGTACGATCACTATGGGCCTGTACGATCACTATGGGCCTGTACGATCACTATGGGCCTGTACGATCACCATGAGCCTGTACGATCACTATGAGCCTGTACGATCTCTATGGGCCTGTACGATCACTATGAGCCTGTACGATCACTATGAGCCTGTACAATCTCTATGGGCCTGTACGATCACTATGAGCCTGTACGATCTCTATGGGCCTGTACGATCACTATGAGCCTGTAGAATTACTATGGTACGATCACTATGAGCCTGTACGATCACTATGGGCCTGTACGATCACTATGGGCCTGTACGATCACTATGAGCCTGTACGATCACTATGGGCCTGTACGATCACTATGGGCCTGTACAATTACTATGGTACGATCACTATGGTCCTGTACGATCACTATGAGCCTGTACGATCACTATGAGCCTGTACAATCTCTATGGGCCTGTACGATCACTATGAGCCTGTACGATCTCTATGGGCCTGTACGATCACTATGAGCCTGTAGAATTACTATGGTACGATCACTATGAGCCTGTACGATCACTATGGGCCTGTACGATCACTATGGGCCTGTACGATCACTATGAGCCTGTACGATCACTATGGGCCTGTACGATCACTATGAGCCTGTACGATCACTATGGGCCTGTACGATCACTATGAGCCTGTACAATTACTATGGTACGATCACTATGGGCCTGTACGATCACTATGAGCCTGTACGATCACTATGAGCCTGTACAATCTCTATGGGCCTGTACGATCACTATGAGCCTGTACGATCTCTATGGGCCTGTACGATCACTATGAGCCTGTAGAATTACTATGGTACGATCACTATGAGCCTGTACGATCACTATGGGCCTGTACGATCACTATGGGCCTGTACGATCACTATGGGCCTGTACGATCACTATGGGCCTGTACGATCACTATGAGCCTGTACGATCACTATGAGCCTGTACGATCTCTATGGGCCTGTACGATCACTATGAGCCTGTACGATCACTATGAGCCTGTACGATCTCTATGGGCCTGTACGATCACTATGGGCCTGTACGATCACTATGGGCCTGTACAATCTCTATGGTACGATCACTATGGGCCTGTACAATTACTATGGTACGATCACTATGGTCCTGTACGATCACTATGAGCCTGTACGATCACTATGAGCCTGTACGATCACTATGGGCCTGTACGATCACTATGAGCCTGTACGATCACTATGGGCCTGTACGATCACTATGGGCCTGTACGATCACTATGAGCCTGTACGATCACTATGAGCCTGTACGATCTCTATGGGCCTGTACGATCACTATGGGCCTGTACGATCACTATGGGCCTGTACAATCTCTATGGTACGATCACTATGGGCCTGTTTCCATGACATGACTCTCTGGGCTCCCTCTCTGGTCTCTCTCTCTGGTCTCTCTCTCTGGTCTCTCTCTCTCTGGTCTCTCTCTTTGGTCTCTCTCTCTGGTCTCTCTCTCTGGTCTCTCTCTCTCTGGTCTCTCTCTCTCACCTGACCGGGCTCCTCTTGTCGTCTGGGTCGGCGGCGCTGACCGATCCGATGGCGGTGTTTCGTGGTGCGTCCTCCTTCACTTCCAGGACGTAGTGACTTCGTTCGAACTTTGGCGGCTCGTCCACATCCTCCACCACCACCTTCACCAAGGCCTCATCCGTGAAGGGCCCCGCGCCCAGGACCCGGGGCCCGGACTGCGTGTTCTCCACCTGGACCCGCAGACTGAACAGACGCTTTCGCTCATAGTCCAGAGGCTGCAACAGAGACCCAGGTTTACATCAGACTCGGACCAGACTCCATCCCCCCGGCACCAGGGTTTCTCTTCAGTGAGGGAGGAGGTCGTTTATCCTCTCTGGTGTCTCTCTGGTCTCTCTATCTGGTCTTTTTCTGGTCTCTCTGGTCTCTCTCTCTGGTCTCTCTCTGATCTTTTTCTGATCTCTCTGGTCTCTCTCTTGTCTCTCTCTCTGGTCTCTCTCTGGTCTCTCTCTATTCTCTCTCTCTCTCTGATCTCTCTCTCTGGTCTCACTCTAGTCTCTCTCTGGTCTCTCTCTCTGGTCTCTCTCTGGTCTCTCTCTATTCTCTCTCTCTCTCTGATCTCTCTCTCTGGTCTCTGTCTGGTCTCTCTCTTATCCCTCTCTCTTGCCTCTCTCTCTTGTCATACTCTTGTCTCTCTCTCTCTTGTCTCTCTCTCTTGTCTCTCTCTCTTGTCTCTCTCTTGTCTCTCTCTCTCTGGTCTCTCTCTCTTGTCTCTCTCTCTCTTGTCTCTCTCTCTTGTCTCTCTCTCTTGTCTCTCTCTCTGGTCTCTCTTCCTCTTGTCTCTCTCTCTCTGGTCTCTCTCTCTCTCTGGTCTTTTTCTCTCTGGTCTCTCTCTCTGGTCTCTCTCTCTCTGGTCTCTCTCTCTCTGGTCTTTCTCTCTTTGGTCTCTCTCTCTCTCTCTGGTCTTTCTCTCTCTGGTCCTCTCTCTCTCTTGTCTCTCTCTCTGGTCTCTTTCTCTCTGGTCTCTCTCTCTCTTGTCTCTCTCTTTCTGGTCTCTCTCTCTCTGGTCTTTCTCTCTCTGGTCTTTCTCTCTCTGGTCTCTCTCTCTCTTGTCTCTCTCTCTGGTCTCTCTCTCTCTGGTCTCTCTCTCTTCACGCACAGCAGTAAATATATAAATAAATACATATTTCCTTAAACCCTTTTTTCCGAGCGTTAATAAAGCGCTCTCTGTTTATCCTGGTTTTGTCTAATCTGAGGAGGATCTTTTTCATTTCACCCCAAAAACCTGGCGCCCGGACGGAGCGCGGCGTGATGGATGGATACATTATTCCCTGGAGTGAAAGGAGACCACGGAAATTGACCCAAAAGACGGTGAAAACACGGAGGCTCTGATTGAAAACGTGATCCGCGGAGACGCCAGAGAGAGCGCCACGACCTCGCCACGACCTCGCCACGACCTCGCCACGACCTCGCCACGACCCCACCACATCCGCCGCTTTCAGGTCCATTCTGAACGTGGCGCTCGCTCCGTTCGCCGCGTGTGGAACAGGTTTGGGTGAAATTAAAAATAATCAACGGTTTGAACGTGTTTGACGATTAAGTAAACTCGTTACAGAAGGTTTTAGGATCATAACCAGTCCACACAGACCCCAGTCCTCACAGACCCCAGTCCACACAGACCCCAGTCCTCACAGACCCCAGTCCACACAGACCCTAGTCCTCACAGACCCTAGTCCACACAGACCCTAGTCCTCACAGACCCTAGTCCTCACAGACCCTAGTCCTCACAGACCCTAGTCCTCACAGACCCTAGTCCACACAGACCCTAGTCCTCACAGACCCTAGTCCTCACAGACCCTAGTCCTCACAGACCCCAGTCCACACAGACCCTAGTCCACACAGACCCCAGTCCTCACAGACCCTAGTCCTCACAGACCCCAGTCCACACAGACCCTAGTCCTCACAGACCCTAGTCCTCACAGACCCCAGTCCTCACAGACCCTAGTCCTCACAGACCCTAGTCCTCACAGACCCCAGTCCACACAGACCCTAGTCCTCACAGACCCCAGTCCACACAGACCCCAGTCCACACAGACCCCAGTCCTCACAGACCCTAGTCCTCACAGACCCTAGTCCTCACAGACCCCAGTCCTCACAGACCCTAGTCCTCACAGACCCCAGTCCTCACAGACCCTAGTCCTCACAGACCCTAGTCCTCACAGACCCTAGTCCTCACAGACCCCAGTCCTCACAGACCCTAGTCCTCACAGACCCTAGTCCTCACAGACCCCAGTCCACACAGACCCTAGTCCTCACAGACCCTAGTCCTCACAGACCCCAGTCCTCACAGACCCCAGTCCTCACAGACCCCAGTCCACACAGACCCTAGTCCTCACAGACCCTAGTCCTCACAGACCCTAGTCCTCACAGACCCCAGTCCACACAGACCCTAGTCCTCACAGACCCCAGTCCTCACAGACCCTAGTCCACACAGATCCCAGTCCTCACAGACCCCAGTCCTCACAGACCCTAGTCCACACAGATCCCAGTCCTCACAGACCCTAGTCCACACAGACCCTAGTCCTCACAGACCCCAGTCCACACAGACCCCAGTCCACACAGACCCTAGTCCACACAGACCCCAGTCCACACAGACCCTAGTCCACACAGACCCCAGTCCTCACAGACCCCAGTCCACACAGACCCTAGTCCTCACAGACCCCAGTCCTCACAGACCCCAGTCCACACAGACCCTAGTCCTCACAGACCCTAGTCCTCACAGACCCCAGTCCTCACAGACCCCAGTCCACACAGACCCTAGTCCTCACAGACCCCAGTCCACACAGACCCCAGTCCTCACAGACCCTAGTCCTCACAGACCCCAGTCCTCACAGACCCCAGTCCTCACAGACCCCAGTCCTCACAGACCCTAGTCCTCACAGACCCTAGTCCTCACAGACCCTAGTCCTCACAGACCCCAGTCCTCACAGACCCTAGTCCTCACAGACCCTAGTCCTCACAGACCCCAGTCCACACAGACCCTAGTCCTCACAGACCCTAGTCCTCACAGACCCCAGTCCTCACAGACCCCAGTCCTCACAGACCCCAGTCCACACAGACCCTAGTCCTCACAGACCCTAGTCCTCACAGACCCTAGTCCTCACAGACCCCAGTCCACACAGACCCTAGTCCTCACAGACCCCAGTCCTCACAGACCCTAGTCCACACAGATCCCAGTCCTCACAGACCCCAGTCCTCACAGACCCTAGTCCACACAGATCCCAGTCCTCACAGACCCTAGTCCTCACAGACCCCAGTCCACACAGACCCTAGTCCACACAGACCCCAGTCCACACAGACCCTAGTCCACACAGACCCCAGTCCTCACAGACCCCAGTCCACACAGACCCTAGTCCTCACAGACCCTAGTCCACACAGACCCTAGTCCTCACAGACCCCAGTCCTCACAGACCCTAGTCCACACAGATCCCAGTCCTCACAGACCCCAGTCCTCACAGACCCTAGTCCACACAGATCCCAGTCCTCACAGACCCTAGTCCTCACAGACCCCAGTCCACACAGACCCTAGTCCACACAGACCCCAGTCCACACAGACCCTAGTCCTCACAGACCCTAGTCCTCACAGACCCCAGTCCACACAGACCCTAGTCCTCACAGACCCCAGTCCTCACAGACCCCAGTCCACACAGACCCCAGTCCTCACAGACCCCAGTCCACACAGACCCCAGTCCTCACAGACCCTAGTCCTCACAGACCCCAGTCCACACAGACCCTAGTCCACACAGACCCCAGTCCTCACAGACCCCAGTCCACACAGACCCCAGTCCACACAGACCCTAGTCCTCACAGACCCTAGTCCTCACAGACCCCAGTCCACACAGACCCCAGTCCACACAGACCCTAGTCCTCACAGACCCCAGTCCACACAGACCCTAGTCCTCACAGACCCTAGTCCTCACAGACCCCAGTCCTCACAGACCCCAGTCCACACAGACCCTAGTCCTCACAGACCCCAGTCCACACAGACCCCAGTCCACACAGACCCTAGTCCACACAGATCCCAGTCCACACAGACCCCAGTCCTCACAGACCCCAGTCCTCACAGACCCTAGTCCTCACAGACCCCAGTCCACACAGACCCCAGTCCTCACAGACCCCAGTCCCTCTGATCCTCCTGCAGGTGGTGGGTCCACAGGAAGATGGTTGCACCATCATCAATGACAGCCTTGGTGTTTTCCTTTCTCTGATTCTGGTCTCTCTCCGATCTCTCTCTGGTCTCTCTCTGGTCTCTCTCTGGTCTCTCTCTGTGGTCTCTCTCCGGTCTCTCTCCGGTCTCTCTCTGGTCTCTCTCTGGTCTCTCTCTGGTCTCTCTCTGTGGTCTCTCTGTGGTCTCTCTCCGGTCTCTCTCTGGTCTTTCTGTGGTCTCTCTCCGGTCTCTCTCTGGTCTCTCTCTGGTCTCTCTGTGGTCTCTCTGTGGTCTCTATCTGGTCTCTATCTGGTCTCTCTCCGGTCTCTCTGTGGTCTCTCTGTGGTCTCTCTGTGGTCTCTCTCTGGTCTCTCGCTGGTCTCTCTGTGGTCTCTCTCTAATTTGCTAAATCTTGAAACTGCTTGAAGTTCGAACGTTCTTTGTGTCTTTCATAATCTTTTCCAATAACCACAAAAACACAAACACACACACACACACACACAACACACACACACACACACACACACACACACACACAGGCGTAGGCGACCTCTTTAATGTGTGTTGCTGACGGTGTGTTGCAGATAATTGGGGCTCGGTACATTTTAATGAATGCACGGCCCCCGGTTTGTGCGGTGTGTGAGAAACGTGAGCGGCGGCGAACAGCAGCGAACGGCGGCGAGCAGCGGGTGCACGCCACTGACGCCACAGGAACACGGCGGCGACTGCTGCGAAGTCAAAGGCGAGTCATTGGTTTTGAAACTTCCAAAGGACACAGAAGAAATGTTTTTAAATGTTTCTGTTGTTTAAAGCTGAACCTCTGGACCAGTGAGTTAGCCTCTATCACATGGTCTCTCTCTGGTCTCTCTTTGGTCTCTCTCTGGTCTCTCTCTGGTCTCTCTGTGGTCTCTCTTTGGTCTCTCACTGGTCTCTCTCTGGTCTCTCTCTGGTCTCTCTATGGTCTCTCTCTCTGATCTCTCTCTCTGATCTCTCTCTGGTCTCTCTCTGGTCTCTCTCTGGTCTCTCTCTGGTCTCTCTATGGTCTCTCTCTCTGATCTCTCTCTCTGATCTCTCTCTGGTCTCTCTCTGGTCTCTCTCTGGTCTCTCTCTGGTCTCTCTATGGTCTCTCTCTCTGATCTCTCTCTGGTCTCTCTCTGGTCTCTCTTTGGTCTCTCACTGGTCTCTCTCTCTGATCTCTCTCTCTGATCTCTCTCTGGTCTCTCTCTGGTCTCTCTCTGGTCTCTCTCTGGTCTCTCTATGGTCTCTCTCTCTGATCTCTCTCTGGTCTCTCTCTGGTCTCTCTCTGGTCTGACGTCAGTGTGGCCCAAATGCCAAGAGCTCATCACGGCGGCTGCAGAGAGAAAGGCAGCTGTCAAACGCCCGGGTGCAGCTCTTTGTCCTGTTTCTGCTATTCCCGTCTCACCCTCACAGAGAGCGCGGTGTCGTCCTGATCCTCTGGGACTCGTCACAGTCTCAATGTTTACAACAGATCTTATTAAAGGTCACAGATTGGCATTGATTGTTTTTGTTAAAGGTTTCAACCATGAAATAACACTCTAATTTCAGAAAACACATCAAGACCTGTGTTTGGCTTCAATCACACTTACATTAAAGAGACAGAGACCAGAGAGAGAGACCAGAGAGAGAGACCAGAGAGAGACCAGAGAGAGACCAGAGAGAGAGAGACCACAGAGAGACCAGAGAGAGACCATAGAGATAAACCAGAGAGAGACCAGAGAGAGACCAGAAAGAGACCAGCGAGAGGGACTAGAAAGAGACAGAGAGAGACAAGAGGAAGAGAGACCAGGGAGAGAGACAAGAGGAAGAGAGCGCAGGGAGAGAGAGAGAGAGAGACTAGAGAGGGATCAAAGAGAGACCAGAGAGAGAGACCAGAGAGAGAGACCAGAGAGAGAGAGACCAGAGAGCGAGAGACCAGGGAAGGACTGAAAAAGACGGCGTCTGTTTTTTTGCCACAGAGTTGTGCGATCATCTGCTGAAAAACTGAAACACAATCCTCCAACACTATACAATACATTCAAGGCAGAACATGCAAAGACACAGGCAGAACATGCAAACTCTGCAGTGACAGCCAGCACCTTGCGCAGTCGCAGCACCCCCTCCTGGTTGCTTCTGTTGGTGCCAATCTCGAACATGCCCGGTCCGTCGCTGCCCGTGATGCGGTACTCCATGTCGGCGTTCTCTCCGATGTCTGCGTCCACGGCCCTCAGCGAACCCACCGCGGCCCCCACCTCCAGGGACTCAGGGACCCGGAACTCGTACAGCGCTGGAACAAGACACAGAACAGTCAGACTAAAGAGGAACTAGACACACAACAGTCAGAAGTCAGAGGACCAAGACACACAACAGTCAGACTACAGAGGACCAAGACACACAACAGTCAGACTTAAGACACACAACAGTCAGAACTCAGTGGAGCAAGACACACAACAGTCAAATTACAGTCAAACTAGACACACAACAGCCAGACTACAGTCGAACTAGAGACACAGCAGTCAGACTACAGTCGAACTAGACACACAACAGTCAGACTACAGTGGAACTAGATGCACTACAGTCAGACTACAGTCGAACTAGACACACAACAGTCAGACTTTGGTGGAACTAGACACACAACAGTCAAGACTTCAGTGGAACTAGACACACAACAGTCAGACTACAGTCAAACGAGACACACAACAGTCATACTTTGGTGGAACTAGACACACAACAGTCAAGACTTCAGTGGAACTAAATGCACAACAGTCAGACTACAGTGGAACTAGACACACAACAGTCAGACTACAGTGAAACTAGACACACAACAGTCAGACTACAGTGGAACTAGATGCACAACAGTCAAACTACAGTGGAACTAGACACACAACAGTCAGACTACTGTGGAACTAGACACACAACAGTCAGACGACAGTGTAACAAGACACACAACAGTCAGACTACAGTCCAACAAGACACACAACAGTCAGACTTTAGTTAAACTAGACACACAACAGTCAGACTACAGTGGAACTAGACACACAACAGCCAGACTACAGTGGAACTAGACACACAACAGTCAGACTACAGTGAAACTAGACACACAACAGTCAGACTACAGTGGAACTAGATGCACAACAGTCAAACTACAGTGGAACTAGACACACAACAGTCAGACTACTGTGGAACTAGACACACAACAGTCAGACGACAGTGTAACAAGACACACAACAGTCAGACTACAGTCCAACAAGACACACAACAGTCAGACTTTAGTTAAACTAGACACACAACAGTCAGACTACAGTGGAACTAGACACACAACAGTCAGACTACCGTGGAACTAGACACACAACAGCCAGACTACAGTCCAACAAGACACACAACAGTCAGACTTTAGTTAAACTAGACACACAACAGTCAGACTACAGTGGAACTAGACACACAACAGCCAGACTACAGTGGAACTAGACACACAACAGTCAGACTACAGTGAAACTAGACACACAACAGTCAGACTACTGTGGAACTAGACACACAACAGTCAGACGACAGTGTAACAAGACACACAACAGTCAGACTACAGTCCAACAAGACACACAACAGTCAGACTTTAGTTAAACTAGACACACAACAGTCAGACTACATTGGAACTAGACACACAACAGTCAGACTACCGTGGAACTAGACACACAACAGCCAGACTACAGTGGAACTAGACACACAACAGTCAGACTACAGTGGAACTAGACACACAACAGTCAGTCTACAGTAGAACTAGATACACAACAGTCAGACTACCGTGGAACTAGACACACAACAGTCAGACTACAGTGGAACTAGACACACAACAGTCAGACTACAGTGGAACTAGACACACAACAGTCAGTCTACAGTGGAACTAGACACACAACAGTCAGACTACAGTGGAACTAGACACACAACAGTCAGTCTACAGTGGAACTAGATACACAACAGTCAGACAACAGTGGAACTAGATACACAACAGTCAGACTACAGTGGAACTAGACACACAACAGTCAGACTACAGTGGAACTAGACACACAACAGTCAGTCTACAGTGGAACTAGACACACAACAGTCAGACTACAGTGGAACTAGATACACAACAGTCAGACTACAGTGGAACTAGACACACAACAGTCAGTCTACAGTGGAACTAGACACACAACAGTCAGACTACAGTGGAACTAGATACACAACAGTCAGTCTACAGTGGAACTAGATACACAACAGTCAGACAACAGTGGAACTAGATACACAACAGTCAGACTACAGTGGAACTAGACACACAACAGTCAGACTACAGTGGAACTAGACACACAACAGTCAGTCTACAGTGGAACTAGACACACAACAGTCAGACTACAGTGGAACTAGATACACAACAGTCAGACAACAGTGGAACTAGACGCACAACAGTCAGTCTACAGTGGAACTAGATACACAACAGTCAGACTACAGTCAAACTAGAGACACAACAGACAGACTTAAGGCACACAGCAGTCACAGCAGTTTCTTGAGGAAATTTAAAATAAACATAGAAAAGAGAACACGCTCCCCAGATTTTAAAAACATGTTAAAGGCTCCGTGACCTGTGTTACACGTGAGCGCCGTGACAACAGTCTCCGCCCACAACTGATCTGTCAATCTGAGGACGGAGGCAAGGAGGCAGAGAGGGTGTGTGTCTGTGTCAGTGTGTGTGTGTGTGTGTGTGTGTGTGTGTGTGTGTCAGTGTGTGTGTGTGTGTGTGTCAGTGTGTGATTGATGAGCTGCAGATCCAGACAAAGGGAGAGTGAGACAGAAACTGTGACGTTACAATAATCATCCGTGACAAGACGCTGAGATTAATCACAATCAAATCAAAAACACAATTTGTCAGATTCTACTTTGGCAGAAACAGAAGTCGTTTGACGGTTTTATCATCGCCTCAGTCCTGGATCTACAGCCTCAGTCCTGGGTCTACACCCTCAGTCCTGGGTCTACAGCCTCAGTTCTGGGTCTACAGCCTCAGTTCTGGGTCTACAGCCTCAGTTCTGGGTCTACAGCCTCAGTCCTGGGTCTACAGCCTCAGTCCTGGGTCTACAGCCTCAGTCCTGGGTCTACAGCCTCAGTCCTGGGTTTACAGCCTCAGTCCTGGGTCTACAGCCTCAGTCCTAGGTCTACAGCCTCAGTCCTAGGTCTACAGCCTCAGTCCTGGGTCTATAGCCTAAGTCCTGGGTCTACAGCTCGTACCTTTGGTGAAGCGTGGCGGGTTGTCGTTGATGTCGGACAGCGTGATGCTAACGGTGGTGGTCCCGGACAGACCGCCCATCTGTCCCGCCATGTCCTTGGCCTGGATGACCACCTGGTACTGCTCCTTCACCTCACGGTCCATCCCCGGGAGCGCCGTCTTTATCAAACCTGCAACAACCAAAGCTTTAGCTGCACTGGAGACAACACAACTAATGAGGTCTCTGGTCTCTCCCTATCTGGTTTCTCTCACTGGTCTCTCCCTCTCTGGTCTCTCTGTGGTGTATCTTTGGCCTCTCTCTGGTCTCTCTTTCTCTGGCCTCTCTCTGGCCTCTCTCTGGCCTCTCTCTGGTCTCCCTCTGGTCTCTCTCTGGTCTCTCTCTGGTCTCTCTCTGGCCTCTCTCTGGTCTCTCTCTGGTCTCTATCTGGTCTCCATCTGGTCTCTCTCTGGTCTCTCTCTGGCCTCTCTCTGGCCTCTCTCTGGCCTCTCTCTGGTCTCTCTCTAGTCTCTCTCTCTGGTCTCTCTCTGCCGGTGAATACCATGTGACATCACAGACTGAGAGCTCATCACAGTGAAACCAGTTTGAAAGTAGAGGATTCAGACAGAAGGGGTGGGGGTCTGTAACACAACTGGAACATGAGACATCAGTGAAACAAAAGCTCTTTGTTCGCGGCCCACACACATCAGGGATTAACCACATTAGCTCTAATCCCGCGCTAATCTGACCGCGCTTTTCCTGCTCCGCTTTTGTTTATGTGATACGGATCCAGACTGAACCGTGCCGCGCCAAAGACACACACGGACAGCACACAGAGAGAGAGAGACCTCTTTGGTCTAGTCTCTCTCTGGTCTCTCTCTGGTCTCTCTCTGGTCTCTCTCTGGTCTCTCTCTGGTCTATCTCTGGTCTATCTCTGGTCTCTCGCTGGTCTCTCTCTGGTCTATCTCTGGTCTCTCTCTGGTCTCTCTCTCTGGTCTGTCTCTGGTCCCTCTCAAGTCTCTGTCTGGTCTCTCTCTGGTCTCTCTCTGGTCTCTCTCTGGTCTCTCTCTCTGGTCTGTCTCTGGTCCCTCTCAAGTCTCTGTCTGGTCTCTCTCTGGTCTCTCTCACTAGTCTCTCTCTGGTCTCTCTCACTAGTCTCTCTCTGGTCTCTCTCACTAGTCTCTCTCTAGTCTCTCTCTAGTCTCTCTCTGGTCTCTCTCTAGTCTCTCTCTAGTCTCTCTCTGGTCTCTCTCTGGTCTCTCTCTGGTCTCTCTCTGGTCTCTCTCTGGTCTCTCTCTGGTCTCTCTCTGGGGGAGGAAGTTGGAAAGTCTCTTGCTTCTTTCTTTGGTTGTGATCAATGTCGTTCTGTATGAATAAAAACACACATTATTATTGCTCCAATGAATCAAATCAACGAATTCCAGGTCTGTTTTTCATCATGATGTGGTTCAAAGTTTCAGATAACACTTTTATTCCTCTTCATGTCATAAACCGTGCATCAGGAGCGGACTGACTGACTGTGACATCACCCGGTGTTAGCCTTAATGCTAACGAAGCTGATGTGAGCATAAGATAGCTGGAGCCAATATCCTCATATGGGCATTTGTTCTATAACTGTAACAGGGGCAGTTGGACGAGTTGCTAAGATGGTTGCTAGGGCAAGCTTAAGTTTCCCTCTCAAATGAAGGCGTCTGATTGGTCAATCCTTATATGGCTCATATGTGAATGGAAATATAAACAGCAGGATCACAGAGAGAACTAAACCACCGCTATTTAAGCCCAAAATGGTGACGCTACTGAGCTCGGATTTACTTTTACATGGAAGTCAATAGGAGCCTGAGAGAGATGAGCCAAACTATATCCATGAGTGCTTCCCTTTTGCGCTTCGTTGAGCTAGCAGGTTAGCATTGTCCATCTGTTTGTGTGTTTTGTGATTACAGATTCAACCTGCACAAACAGAGGCCCTCAACTTCCACTGACAACCTTTATTATTCCATAAATTAGCATTAGCATTTAACAAGCTAATTGCTATAATAATTAGCATTGCTTTTGCCAACCCTCTTTTCAACCATGCAAATGTTTACGAAGAGAATAGTCTTAAAAATGTTATGTGCAGGTTTGAAATGAACAAATACATTGATTGATGATTCTGTAATATTTCTTTTTTTTTGCTGCTCTGACCCTGAAGGAGCAGGTACCGGCTTCGTACTGAGCTGGTTCATACCATGTGTGTGTTTCTGGTATTTTTAGCCTCTGTCTCCGCAGGTGTCCAAACATTCATTATGTATGATCCAAACACACGACGGCGGCCGCTGCGCACGTATGACACACTGCTACACGTGTTTGCAGTGAAAGAAGGTAGTAGAGTAGTAGTAGTAGTAGTAGTAGTAGCAGTAGTAGTAGTAGCAGTAGTAGTAGCAGTAGCAGTATCAGTAGTATCAGTAGCAGTAGTAGTAGCAGTAGCAGTAGCAGTAGTAGTAGCAGTAGCAGTAGCAGTAGCAGCAGTAGTAGTAGCAGTAGCAGTAGCAGTAGTAGTAATCTTTATTTATATACCGCCTTTTCACTGCAAATCTGAGTCTCAAAGCGGTTTACAATTGTTATTTTTGGGTATTTGTCCACACAGAGATGGGAGGGGCCAGTACACAAGGCGCATGCCAGACCTATTGTACATATTTTTAGTGGTAGGGGAAACCGGAGTACCCGGAGGAAACCTACGCAGACACGGGGAGAACATGCAAACTCCACTCAGAAAGGCCCTGGTCCGACCGGGATTCGAACCCAGGACCTTCTTGCTGAGAGGGGAGAGTGCTATCCACTCAGCCACCGTGCCGCCCAGTAGCAGTAGCAGTAGTAGTAGTAGTAGCAGCAGTAGTAGCAGTACTAGTAGTAGTAGTAGTAGCAGTATCAGTAGCAGTAGCAGTAGCAGTAGCAGTAGTAGTAGTAGCAGTAGCAGTAGCAGTAGCAGTAGCAGCAGTAGCAGTAGCAGTAGCAGTAGTAGTAGTAGTAGTAGTAGCAGTAGCAATAGCAGTAGCAGTAGCAGCAGTAGTAGCAGTAGTAGTAGCAGTAGTAGCAGTAGCAGCAGTAGCAGTAGCAGTAGCAGCAGTAGTAGTAGCAGTAGCAGTAGTAGTAGTAGTAGTAGTAGCAGTAGCAATAGCAGTAGCAGTAGCAGCAGTAGTAGCAGTAGTAGTAGCAGTAGTAGTAGTAGTAGCAGTAGCAGTAGCAGTAGCAGCAGCAGCAGTAGCAGTAGCAGTAGCAGTAGTAGCAGTAGTAGTAGCAGCAGCAGTAGCAGTAGCAGTAGCAGTAGCAGCAGTAGCAGTAGCAGTAGCAGTAGCAGTAGCAGTAATGGCAGTATAATATAGAGTCTGTGGTTTTTAAATTGAGAGTGACTTTGTGCCGTGGTCAAAGTGAAAGTAAAGTCATATTTTTCTCTGGTTTGGAGCAAAGTGCTAAAGTCGCTCTGACACATTTTCCTGGTAAATATCTCGCCGGCACCTGCCTCTTTGGCGCCGATACAGTCATCACCGAAAGTGCAATTTCCAGCACGTAAAGAGTGAGTCCCGTGTTTGCCTTAAAATCTCTAAAAGCTTTTAATATTATTCTTTTATGAATGTGCGGCGAGGTGTCGCTGAGGGTCCGGGACCAGGGAGAGAAGCAAAAAAGGTTTAATAAAAGAGCAGCAGAGTCAGACTTCCACAATCATGAAACCACAGAGAACCCCGAAGCCGCCATTTTGAGAAATTAGCCAAAAAAAATATTCAGGTTTTCAGCAGATTTAATTTAAGTCATTTATAACAGTTTTAGCCTCAGCCTTAGCCATTTGTAAACTCTAGTCCATGTCAGTATATGTGTATGTGTATGTGTACAGTGCCTTTTGCGAAAGTATTCGGCCCCCTTGAACCTTTCAACATTTCGCCACATTTCAGGCTTCAAACATAAAGATATAAAAACAGTTTTTTTTGCCAAGAATCAACAACAAGTGGGACAAAATCGTGAAGTGGAACAACATTTATTGAATAATTTAAACTTTTTTAACAAATAAAAAACTGAAAAGTGGGGTGTGCAATATTACTCTATTATCTACTATTATTGTGAACAGCAGTCTTCAGCTCTTTCCACAGATTCTCGATTGGATTCAGGTCTGGACTTTGACTTGGCCATTCTAACACCTGGATACGTCTATTTGTGAACCATTCCATTGTAGATTTGGCTTTATGTTTTGGATCATTGTCCTGTTGGAAGATAAATCTCCGTCCCAGTCTCAGGTCTTTTGCAGACTCCAACAGGTTTTCTTCCAGAATGGTCCCGTATTTGGCTCCATCCATCTTCCCATCAATTTTAGCCATCTTCCCTGTCCCTGCTGAAGAAAAGCAGGCCCAAAGCATGATGCTGCCACCACCATGTTTGACAGTGGGGATGGTGTGTTCAGGGTGATGAGCTGTGTTGCTTTTACGCCAAACATATCATTTTGCATTGTGGCCAAAAAGTTTGATTTTGGTTTCATCTGACCAGAGCACCTTCTTCCACATGTTTGGTGTGTCTCCCAGGTGGCTTGTGGCAAACTTTAAACAAGACTTTTTATGGATATCTTTGAAAAATGGCTTTCTTCTTGCCACTCTTCCATAAAGGCCAGATTTGTGCAGTGCACGACTGATTGTTGTCCTATGGACAGACTCTCCCACCTCAGCTGTAGATATCTGCAGTTCATCCAGAGTGATCATGGGCCTCTTGGCTGCATCTCTGATCAGTCTTCTCCTTGTTTGAGATGAAAGTTTGGAGGGACGGCCGGGTCTTGGTAGATTTGCAGTGGTCTGATACTCCTTCCATTTCAATATAATTGCTTGCACAGTGCTCCTTGAGATGTTTAAAGCTTGGGAAATCTTTTTGTATCCAAATCCGGCTTTAAACTTCTCCACAACAGTATCTCGGACCTGCCTGGTGTGTTCCTTTGTCTTCATGGTTCTCTCTGCGCTTTAAACAGAACCCTGAGACTATCAAAGAGCAGGTGCATTTATACGGAGACTTGATTACACACAGGTGCATTCTATTTATCATCATCAGTCATTTAGGACAACATTGGATCATTCAAAGATCCTCACTGAACTTCTGGACTGAGTTTGCTGCACTGAAAGTAAAGGGGCCGAATAATATTGCACACCCCACTTTTCAGTGTTTTATTTGTTAAAAAAGTTTAAATTATCCAATTAATTTCGTTCCACTTCACGATTGTGTCCCACTTGTTGATTCATGACAACATTTTTAAATTTTATATCTTTATGTTTGAAGCCTGAAATGTGGCGAAATGTTGAAAGGTTCAAGGGGGCCGAATACTTTCGCAAGGCACTGTATGTGTGTGTGTGTCTGTGTGTGTGTGTGTGTGTGTGTGTGTGTGTGTGTCTGTGTGTGTTGCTGACCAGAGTCCGGGTCCACAGAGAAGTATGGCTGTCCTTCTAAGATGCTGTAAACCACTTTGGCGCTGTTCCCGTACGTGGAGTCGTCTGCGTCTGTGGCCGAGACCTGGATCACCGACGTACCTGAACACACACCATCCAATCAGAAATCAGGTAGGGTAGGGTAGAGTAAGGTAGGGTAGAGTAGAGTAGAGTAGAGTAGAGTAGGGTAGGGTAGGGTAGGGTAGGGTAGGGTAGGGTAGGATAGGATAGGATAGGATAGGGTAGGGTAGGGTAGAGCAGAGCAGGGCAGGGCAGGGCAGGGCAGAGCAGAGCAGAGCAGAGTAGAGTAGAGTAGGGCAGGGCAGGGCAGGGCAGGGCAGGGCAGGGTAGGGTAGGGTAGGGTAGAGTAGAGCAAAGTAGAGTAGGGTAGGGTAGGGTAGAGTAGAGTAGAGTAGAGTAGAGTAGTGTAGGGTAGGGTAGAGTAGGGTAGAGTAGAGTAGGGTAGGGTAGGGTAGAGTAGAGTAGGGTAGAGTAGAGTAGAGTAGGGTAGGGTAGTGTAGGGTAGGGTAGAGTAGAGTAGAGTAGAGTAGAGTAGTGTAGGGTAGGGTAGAGTAGGGTAGAGTAGAGTAGAGTAGGGTAGGGTAGGGTAGGGTAGGGTAGGGTAGAGTAGAGTAGAGTAGGAGGGGGGTTCAGTAAAAAAGGCCAAAAATACTTGATGTGAAAACCATGAACAGATGTATTAGTTTTTATAATAATGAAAATATATCCATCCATTCATCCATTTTCTTCCGCTTTATCCGTTGCCGGGTCGCGGGGGCAGCAGTCTAAGCAGAGACGCCCAGACTTCCCTATCCACACACACTTCCTCCAGCTCGTCCGGGGGGACCCCAAGGCGTTCCCAGGCCAGCTGAGAGACATAGTCCCTCCAGCGTGTCCTAGGTCTTCCGCGGGGCCTCCTCCCGGTGGGACGTGCCCGGAACACCTCCCCAGGAAGGCGTCCAGGAGGCATCCGGAACAGATGCCCGAGCCACCTCAACTGGTTCCTCTCGACGTGGAGAAGCAGCGGCTCTACTCCGAGCTCCTCCCGTGTGACTGAGCTCCTCACCCTATCTCTAAGGGAGCGCCCAGCCACTCTGCGGAGGAAGCTCATTTTCACCACAACGGTCCGATACAGAGACCGCATCACTGCGCACGCTGCACCGATCCGCCTGTCAATCTCACGCTCCATCCCTCCCTCACTTGTGAACAAGACCCCGAGATACTTGAACTCCTCCACTTGAGGAAGGACCTCTCCACCCACCTGTAGAGGGCAAGGCACCTTTTTCCGGTCGAGCACCATGGCCTCGGATTTGGAGGTGCTGATTCTCATCCCAGCCGCTTCACACTCGGCTGCAAACCGCCCCAGTGCATGCTGCAGGTCCTGGTTCGTTGGAGCCAACAGGACAACATCGTCCGCAAACAGCAGAGATGAAATCCTGTGGTCTCCGAACCGGACCCCCTCCGACCCCTGGCTGCGCCTAGAAATTCTGTCCATAAATACAGTGAACAGAACCGTTGACAAAGGGCAGCCCTGTCGGAGGCCAACATTCACCGGGAACAAGTCTGACTTACTGCCGGCAATGCGAACACAGCTCTGTCATACAGGGATCGGACGGCCCTCAGCAGAGGACCCCGGACCCCGTACTCCCTGAGAACCCCCCAAAGGACACCCCGGGGAACACAGTCGAACGCCTTCTCCAAATCCACAAAGCACATGTGGACAGGTTGGGCGAACTCCCATGAACCCTTGAGTATCCGATGGAGAGTATAGAGCTGGTCCAGTGTTCCGCGACTGGGACGAAAACCATACTGCTCCTCCTGGATCCGAGATTCGACCATCGGCCGTAACCTCCTCTCCAGTACCTTGGAGTAGACCTTACTGGGGAGGCTGAGGAGTGTGATCCCACGATAATTGGAACACACCCTCCGGTCCCCCTTCTTATAGAGAGGGACCACCACCCCGGTCTGCCACTCCATTGGCACCGCCCCCGATCGCCACGCGATGTTGCAGAGACGTGTCAGCCAAGATAGTCCTACAACATCCAGAGACTTTAGATAATCAGGGCGGATCTCATCCACACCCGGAGCCTTGCCACCATGGAGGCTGCCAACCACCTTGGTGACCTCAGCCAGGGAGATGGATGTATCCGCCCCAACATCCTCAGCCTCAGCCTCTGTAGGACGTGACGGGGGGATTGAGGAGAACCTCAAAGTATTCCTTCCACCGCCCGACAATATCCCCAGTCGAGGTCAGCAGCTCTCCGCCCGCACCGTACATGGTGTTGGCAAAGAACTGCTTCCCCCTCCTGAGGCGCCGGATGGTTTGCCAGAATCTCTTCGAGGCCAACCGATAGTCATGCTCCATGGACTCTCCAAACTCCTCCCAGTCCCGGGTTTTTGCCTCTGCAACAGCCCGGGCCTGCCGGTACTGGACAGCTGCCTCAGGAGTCCCCCGAACCATCATGGCTCGATAGGACTCCTTCTTCAGCCTGACAGCATCCCTTACTGCCGGTGTCCACCACCGGGTTCGGGGGTTGCCGCCGGGACCAGCACCAGAGACCTTGCGACCACAGCTACGAGCCGCCGCATCAGCGATTGAGGCAGAGAACATGGTCCACTCGGACTCCATGTCCCCCTCCTCCGCCGGGACCTGGGAGAAGCTCTCCCGGAGGTATGAGTTGAAAGTCCGTCTGACAGGGGGCTCAGCGAGACGTTCTCAGCAAACCCTCACTACACGCTTGGGCCTGCCAGGTCTGACCGGCCTCCTGCCCTGCCAGCGGATCCAACTCACGACCAGGTGATGATCGGTTGACAGCTCCGCCCCTCTCTTCACCCGAGTGTCCGAGACACGCGGTCGAAGGTCAGATGATACGACAACAAAGTCGATCATCGACCTCCGGCCTAGGGTGTCCTGGTGCCACGTGCACTGGTGGACACCCTTGTGCTCGAACATGGTGTTCGTGATGGACAAACTGTGACTGGCACAGAAGTCCAACAACTGAACACCGCTCGGGTTCAGATCAGGGGGGCCGTTGTTCCCGATCACCCCTCTCCAAGTGTCACTGGCATTTCCCACATGGGCGTTGAAGTCCCCCAGGAGAATAACGGAGTCCCCGGGCGGTGCACCGTCCAGTACCCCTCCCAAGGACTCCAAAAAGGCCGGGTACTCTGCACTACCGTTAGGCCCGTAGGCCGTCACAACAATGAGAGACTTGTCCCCCACCCGGAGGCGGAGGGACGCGACCCTCTCATTCACCGGGGAGAACTCCAACACGTGGCGGCTGAGATGGGGGGCAATGAGAATGGCCACCCCAGCTCGCCGCCTCTCCCCGTGGGAAACTCCAGAAAAGTGGAGCGTCCAACCCCTCTCAAGGAGTTGGGTTCCAGAGCCCAAGCTGTGTGTGGAGGTGAGGCCGACTAGCTCTAGTCGGTATCGCTCAACCTCCCCCACGAGCTCGGGCTCCTTCCCCCCCAGTGAGGTGACGTTCCACGTCCCAAGAGCCAGATGTTGTGTGTGCGGACTGGGTCGCCGAGGTCTCCGCCTTCGACTGCCGCCCAGTTCTCTCTGCACCGCTTCACCACGGACCCCTCTGCAGGTGGTGGGCCCACAGGAGGGACTGCCCACATCATCCCTTCGGGCTGAGCCCGGCCGGGCCCCGTGGGCTAAGGCTTGGCCACCAGGGGCTCGCATACGAGCCCCGACCCCAGGCCTGGCTCCAGGGTGGGGCCCCGGCTGCGCCATGCCGGGCGACGTCACTGGTCTATTTATCGTGCTGTCCATGGTGGTTTTTGGACCGCTCTTCGTCTGACTCGTCACCTGAGACCTGTCTGCCATGGGAGACCCTACCAAGGGCATGAAGCCCCAGACAGCATAGCTCCCAGGATCATCCGAGTGCTCAAACTCCCCCACCACGTTAAGGTGGCAGTCCAGGGGGGGAGTAATGAAAATATATTTTTTGCGAAATTCAAGGTCACTGTGGAATCGCTTTTTTCAACCCTCGTCCAATCTTCAAACTGCTGCTCCCCCCTCATGTCTCCCCTCGTCTCCCCCCATCTCTCCCCCGCCTCATGTCTCCGGCTGCTTCCACTCTCCTCTCATTGATCCTGTGGCTAATCGATGCACGCTAATGTTTTCTTCTAAATATACCTCTGTTAGCGTAGTCGCGGCACCACGCTAGACCCACGCGCTCACCCCACTGTAGCTCCCCAGTCTGTGGGGGGGGGAGGCGGGGGTCGGAGGGGGAGGATGAGGTCCAAACCGCAGAGGCTGGATCTGCTTACGCCGCGGCTGCTGTTAGCCTGAGCTAGCTGCGTCCGAGGCTTCATTAGGGCAGAGGGGAGAGTAATGATGCGGACATATTTAATGGATACGTTTTAAATATAGAAACACTGGGATCAAACTCCTGCTTTTAGCGTCAACTGTGAAGAACCTTTAGAGACAACACAAAGAGTAATGTGTTCCCAGTCTTCAGTTAGTGCTGTTTTAAAGCTGGGGTGTGTAACTTTCAAACCACAGCTAGGCGAGGCAGGTTTATTTGTTTAGCACAGTTTATACACAAGGCAACTCAAGATCATGAATAATCACAGTGCATTAAAAGATAAAATCCCTTAGTTTTTTTAAACCTGGATTTGAATATTGTCAGAGTAGAAGCCTGTCTCATATTTTCAGGAAGACTGTTCCAGAGTTTAGCATGAATCTGAAACAGTGTTTAGTCCTTACTCTGGGACCAGCAGGAGGCCAGTCCCTGTGCTCCTCAGAGTCCCAGCAGGAGGCCAGTCCCTGTGCTCCTCAGAGTCCCAGCAGGAGGCCAGTCCCTGTGCTCCTCAGAGTCCCAGCAGGAGGCCAGTCCCTGTGCTCCTCAGAGTCCCAGCAGGAGGCCAGTCCCTGTGCTCCTCAGAGTCCCAGCAGGAGGCCAGTCCCTGTGCTCCTCAGAGTCCCAGCAGGAGGCCAGTCCCTGTGCTCCTCAGAGTCCTCCTTGGAGAGACTTTCAAACATAGGAGCTCAAAGGGAAAGTATAATTAGGAGGTGACACAAACAATAATGAAAGTGAGGGTTTCCAAGATGGCCGCCGGTGTCTGTCGGTGGTGAAGAAGCATTTGATTGGACGAGGCCGAGCGCTCTGTGGCGTCTGTGATGAAATATGATCTGATCTGAGGAAGACGCAACATTTGCTGAAAGAACGTCAGAACTTTTCACCTGCTGCGACGCGAGAGTCGTCTTTAAAGGAGACGTCTGAAGCACAATCCAGCCTTGGATCATGTTCATCAATGTTCACTCAATAAACAGATCTGGAGCTGTTTTTAGCTCCTGCCACGCTAATGTCAGAGGCTAACTGGTCCTTCACAGAACACTCTGTGACGAGAGGGGTCCAGGAGTATTCTGTTTAAGTAATGTTTATTTATATAGCACATTTTACACACAAAGCACTTTACTATTGTTGAGTTTTGAGTTAGCTCTAATCTTCATGGAGCCTTCTTTGAGTCAGACACAGGCTGTAAATATTAAAGACCTAGTCACGCCTATCTGTGGCTTTTTAAATATGGCCGCGGGCAGGACCATCTGAAAAAATGACTGGTCCAAAAAAAAAAGAAAACCCAAGACCAAGAGCCACTTTTGGACCAAGAACCACTTTTGGACCAAGAGCCACTTTTGGACCAAGAACCACTTTTGGACCAAGAACCACTTTTGGACCAAGAACCACTTTTGGACCATCCAGACGTTTTCCAGATGAAAGAAGACGCCATACAAAAGCATTGGGTAATTCTCTTTCCGGGTACACCCCCAACAGAGGGAGTGAGATTGCTGCATGTCAGCGCACACCCTCATGGACCTCAGAGCAGAGACCTGACCACACTGGTCCATGTCAGGAAATGCTATGCTAACGACTATGCTAAGTCTAAGCTAACGTCCATGCTAACGACATGCCCATTCAAATGTGGGAGGAAAAGGCTCCACGGCTGCAGACTGGGACCAAAAAGAGTGAATAGAGCTGGTCTTTACAGAGAATAGTGACACGTGGACGAGTTTGTGTGTCCTTGAAACTTATTACGACGCAGTTTTGTGCTTTTTAGCTTTTTCCTGATACTGCATTTGTCCTCATGCTGATTTCGTCCACCTACGTTGCCAGGTTGAGGATTGATAAATACACAGTGAGATCATGGAGACACTGGAGTCAAACTGGTGTAATCCAGATTCATTTGCGCAATTATGTCCCATTTATTCTCTGTAATCCTCCCCCCATCTCTCTGCTCTCCCTCCTCCCCTCTCTCTACTCCCACCTCTCTCTCCTTGCTCTATTCTCTTCCCCCTGCTCTCTCTCTCTTCCTCTCTTTCCCTCATCTCGCTCTCTCCTCTCCTCTCCCTCATCTGTCTCTCTCTCTCCTCTCCTTTCTCCTCCCTCGTCTCTCTCCTCTCCCTAATCTCTCTCCCCTCTCTCTGCTTCCACCTCTCTCTCTCCTTGTTCTACTCTCCTCTCCCCATCTCTCTCTCTCCTCACCCTCTACTCTCTCTCTCCTCTCCCTCATCTCTCTCCTCTCTCCTCCCCCCTCTCTCCCTGGCTTTTCCGGGCAGACATCACAAAATCCCTGCCCTGTATGGTGCTGTTGTCGTTGGTAAACTGACCCATCCTCTCTCCCCCTCTCTCCCCCCTCTCCTCCCCTCTCCTCCTCTCCTGGGCATGTGTTTAAAGCAGCTAAAGCGATCTCTGCTGTTTTAGGACCAGAGGATTAGCAGATTTATGACCTGGTTTCTCCTGTAATTATAATAACTAGATCAGCGGCTCTTTTGGAGGCAGCAGAGGGTCTGAAAGGATCACGCTCTGTCCTTGTGTTTAACCTTTACATCAAAACATTGTTTTTCTGCCTTTTATTCTCTTTGGAATTTCATGTTTTACAATGTGGAGTTAATGCTGGGACGTGTGGGTGAAGGACTCCCCAGGGAGAGAGTCATTTAATAATCATTCAGAAAGAACCTCACAGTGGTTTTTTGCATTCAAGTTTGAGCATTTCTGATAAATAATAATATAAATCATTATTAATGCACTGTGGTTATTTATTTTGTAATCCCCTGTGTGATTTTAATGTTCTAATGTTTTTTTGTCAGGAATTCAAATACTGTGTGATTTGAATTGTGTTTTTTGGTGTTTTATGTGTTGATTTCTTTTACATGTAAATGTGTAAACTGAAACTTAAGACACGGTCTTTACTTGATCATGAATCATCTCGACATCATCCTTAACCCCGCCCCTGCCTTAGCCCCGCCCCCAGTCTTAGGCCCGCCCCTGCTTTAACACCTCCCCCTGCCTTAGCCCCTCCCCCTGTCTTAGCCCCGCCCCCTGCCTTACCGATCTCGCTCATCTCAGGCACGCGGGCGTAGTAGGGGTTCTTGGTGAAGCGTGGCTCGTTGTCGTTGATGTCGTGGATCTTGATGATGAACTCCGACTCCCCCTCCAGGGCGATGTTGGTAATGCGGTTCACCGCCTTGGCGTGCAGGATGTAGTAGGCCTTCTCCTCGCGGTCCAAGCGCTTGGTGGCGTGGATGTCTCCGGACTTCTCGTCGATCCGGAACAGCGTCCCGGCGCCCTCTCCGGTCAGAACGTACCGCACACTGCCGTCGCCGCGGTCACCGTCAGAGTGAAGCTGAGGACAACAGTCAGGAATAACATCAGTCAGGAATACTGTCAGGAATAACATCAGTAATACTGTCAGGAATACTGTCGCGGTCACCGTCAGAGTGAAGCTGAGGACAACAGTCAGGAATAGCATCAGGAGTAACAACAGGAATACTGTCACTGTCAGGAATAATGTCAAGAATAACATCAGGAATAATGTCAGGAATAATGTCAGGAATAACATCAGGAATACTGTCAGGAATACTGTCAGGAATACTGTCAGGAATAATGTCAGGAATACTGTCAGGAATACTGTCAGGAATAATGTCAGGAATAATGTCAGGAATAATGTCAGGAATAATGTCAGGAATAATGTCAAGAATAATGTCAGGAATAGTGTCAGGAATAATGTCAGGAATAGTGTCAGGAATAATGTCAGGAATAATGTCAGGAATACTGTCAGGAATAATGTCAGGAATAATGTCAGGAATAATGTCAGGAATACTGTCAGGAATAATGTCAGGAATACTGTCAGGAATACTGTCAGGAATACTGTCAGGAATAATGTCAGGAATAATGTCAGGAATACTGTCAGGAATAATGTCAAGAATACTGTCAGGAATACTGTCAGGAATACTGTCAGGGATAATGTCAGGAATAATGTCAGGAATACTGTCAGGAATACTGTCAGGAATAATGCCAGGAATACTGTCGGGAATACTGTCAGGAATAATGTCAGGAATAATGTCAGGAATAATGTCAGGAATACTGTCAGGAATAATGTAAGGAATACTGTCAGGAATACTGTCAGGAATACTGTCAGGAATAATGTCAGGAATAATGTCAGGAATACTGTCAGGAATAATGTCAGGAATAATGTCAGGAATAGTGTCAGGAATAATATCAGGAATAATGTCAGGAATACTGTCAGGAATAATGTCAGGAATAATGTCAGGAATAATGTCAGAAATACTGTCAGGAATAATGTCAGGAATACTGTCAGGAATACTGTCAGGAATAATGTCAGGAATAATGTCAGGAATACTGTCAGGAATAATGTCAAGAATACTGTCAGGAATACTGTCAGGAATACTGTCAGGAATACTGTCAGGGATAATGTCAGGAATAATGTCAGGAATACTGTCAGGAATAATGTCAGGAATACTGTCAGGAATACTGCCAGGAATACTGTCAGGAATCATGTCAGGAATACTGTCAGGAATAACGTCAGGAATAATGTCAGGAATAATGTCAGGAATACTGTCAGGAATAATTTCAGGAATAATGTCAGGAATACTGTCAGGAATACTGTCAGGAATACTGTCAGGAATAATGTCAGGAATACTGTCAGGAATAATGTCAGGAATACTGTCAGGAATACTGTCAGGAATAATGTCAGGAATACTGTCAGGAATACTGTCAGGAATACTGTCAGGAATACTGTCAGGAATAACATCAGGAATACTGTCAGGAATAATGGGTAGGCGACCAAAATAGGTTTGGTCGACAGATCCTATCAGACCTCTGAAGCTAAGCAGGGCAGAGTCTGGATAGTACTGTGATGGGAGACCACTGTTGTGTTCGTAGGAAACACTATAGTTTATCACCTACAGTGTGTTTTTAGTGAAAGAAGGACGTGAAGCACCTTTAAGTGTCCAGAAAAACACGATATGAAACTGATTATTATTATTACTATTATTATTACATTACTATTATATCAATAAAGTTTTATCCTAACATTTCTTTTCCGTCTCTGTCACCTCCAGTCTCTCTCCCTAAAACCTTCACATCAGGTCAGATATCTCTGGTTCAAACTGGACTCTTTTTTATCAGAAACATCAGCAGCTTAAAAAAAACTTGACCAGCATCAAAAACATATCGTCTAAAGCAGACCTGGAGATTCTGATCCTTGGGACTTCACTTGGTTTAATATTCCATGAAACACTTTAGTCCAACTGCTGTGAGTTCACTAAAGCCGTCTTTCTGACTGTTCGTTCCAAATGTTGTGTTTGATGCATAAATGATGTGAAACTAATGAAATAAGAATCAGGAGGAGCCGAGTCCGTGACCGGGTCGAGTCCAGCGGCTGTGAAATCCACGCCGCCGTAATGGAAAAGCAAAGGCGGTGAAAATGATTTATGTATGATTCAAAGAGGTCGCGCCGACACCTTCCACACGTCTCAGAAATCTGGGACAATGGAGCAAACGCACTGAACGAGAGCCGGACCGAAGTGGGCCAAAGTAGGCCATTACACGACTTTATAATGACTGCGATAGAAAAGAGAGAGGAGTCTATGAGGACCAGCAGCTTCAGGCTGTTTATCAAGACTAAACATTTATTACATATACTTAGACACCTAACTTTTGGGTCATTCAATACATGTCATTGGTCCCAACATGAAGGTGAAATGTACTGAACAAATCATCTTCTTTATCCCAATACTCTGGAAAAAGTGATACAAAAATATGTAAAACAAATGCTCAGATTTGGCAAAATGTGTCTTAATCTGAGCACATTCTGACTGAGCCTTTAAACCAGATTCTCCAATGGGACAAAGCAAAATGATATTGTTTTAACGGTACAGAAATGTCTCCCTTGGAATGAGAAACTAAAGCAACAGTTCTTGAAATAGGTCTAAATGTCTTTGTCTCATTGGAGAAAAAAAAATCTAACTTAATAAACGCACAAACACAAGAGAGTGGACTGTTTTCAGCCTCAGACGGATCCAAAAGTCTGTCAGAGGAGAGAGAGTGGGGAGCAGAGCCGTCGGTGCGGAATAGACTCCGGGCTATGGTTTTAATGGTGTTTTTAAAGAAATTACAGAAGTCTATTTAGTGTTTTGTTGTCGCTTGTGCACACTGGGTATTTTTGTGCAAATATTCCAAAAACAAACAGCCTGGATGTGAGTGGATCTGTCCTGTTCTGTCTCGTTCAAGTGCATCCGGAACAGACTTCACGCCGATTGCATTTTGCTCAAAACAGCAAAAAGTACCATTCAGTGCTCAGTCCAAAAATCCAATTAGAGTTCGAGTAGAGATTTCTAACTGAGCGTGCACCTTTCCTCCCTCTTCCCTGGGTCTGGCCATAAACTGTATTCTAGGAGTGGGCGGACGGAGTGTGATGTCACCACAGTGCTAGCCTTAAAGCAGAAGAAGCCAGTTTGACCGTAAGCTAGCTAAGGCATGAATAAAGGCATGTGATTGTTCCTTATGTGGTTCATATATGGATTTACAAAGACAATAACAGAGTATAAACAACAGGATCACAGAGAGCGAAAAACTATGGATTTTTCAAGCCCAAAATGGTGACTGTGACTCAAATGGTTACCGAGCAATAGGAGTTTACTTTCACATCTAACAGCTAAGTCAAAAGGAGCCAGAGAGAGATGCAGCAAAACTTTGTCAATGAGCACTTCCATATTAGGCTTCATGAGTGAGCGGGTTAGAATCACCCATCTGTATACAGTCTGTGTTAGCATTAGCATCTGTATACAGTCCATGTTAGCATTAGCATCTGTATACAGTCCGTGTTAGCATTAGCATCTGTATACATTCTATGTTAGCATTAGCATCTGTATACAGTCTGTGATAGCATTAGCATCTGTATACAGTCTGTTAGCATTAGCATCTGTATACAGTCTGTGTTAGCATTAGCATCTGTATACAGTCTGTGTTAGCATTAGCATCTGTATACATTCTATGTTAGCATTAGCATCTGTATACAGTCTGTGTTAGCATTAGCATCTGTATACAGTCTGGGTTAGCATTAGCATCTGTATACAGTCTGTGTTAGCATTAGCATCTGTATACAGTCTGTTAGCATTAGCATCTGTATACAGTCTGTGTTAGCATTAGCATCTGTATACAGTCTGTGTTAGCATTAGCATCTGTATACAGTCTGGGTTAGCATTAGCATCTGTATACAGACTGTGTTAGCATTAGCATCTGTATACAGTCTGTGTTAGCATTAGCATCTGTATACAGTCTGTGTTAGCATTAGCATCTGTATACAGTCTATGTTAGCATTAGCATCTGTATACAGTCTGTGATAGCATTAGCATCTGTATACAGTCTGTGTTAGCATTAGCATCTGTATACAGTCTGTGATAGCATTAGCATCTGTATACAGTCTGTGATAGCATTAGCATCTGTATACAGTCTGTGTTAGCATTAGCATCTGTATACAGTCTGTGATAGCATTAGCATCTGTATACAGTCTGTGATAGCATTAGCATCTGTATACAGTCTGTGATAGCATTAGCATGTGTCTTTGTAAGTAATCTTTATTTATATACCGCCTTTTCACTGCAGATCTGAGTCTCAAAGCGGTTTACAATTGTTAATTTTGGGCATTTGTCTCTCACTCCACACAGAGATGGGAGCGGGGCCAGTACAGGAGGCACATGCCAGAACTATTTTACATATTTTTAGTGGTAGGGGAAACCGGAGTACCCGGAGGAAACCTACGCAGACACGGGGAGAACATGCAAACTCCACTCAGAAAGGCCCTGGTCCGACCGGGATTCGAACCCAGGACTTTCTTGCTGAGAGGCGAGAGTGCTATCCACTCAGCCACCGTGCGGCCCGTCTTCAGTCCGCGGCTCTCCTGACGTTATGTGTAGAGACAGCAGCTGTGCTTAAACTCTCAGGATGTATTGGAATCCATTATGTGCTGACGGCGGTGACTTCACTAATGGCCGCTGTGTCCTTCGTCTCATTTGCTAATGAAGAGCAGCGTCTGGACAGAGGAGGGTCCTATCGAGTCGCAGAGGCTTAGAGACCACCGGGGAATATGCAAAAACACAGCCCCTTACACTGCAAAACACTCAGAGCAAAAGCAACATTTCAATTCCAAAATCGCTTCATCCTCCTTCCTCAATTGAATATTAAGATAAAGGATTGAGATGGACTTTGTTACACAAGCTGGTTCCTGAGCTTGTGCCGCAACTCTCCTCCTCCTCACTCTTATCACGGCCGTGTCCCAAATGTACTTTGTCGTCTCCTTGAATTCTCCTTCTCTCTCAGGGG